GCAAAGCCTGCGGGCATTTCCACAAGACGGAGGATGAAAATCTCTGGCGTTTGGAGGAGGTGGGTCTGGAGTCGGGGGAGCGCCATTGGACAGGATTAATGTCCGTGTACGTTGATGACATCCTGCTGAGTGGTGAAGAAGACACCCTGAAGGCTGGGCTCACCTCTTTGCAAGCAGGCATCGGCCAGAGAAGCAGTGCACTTCTGATCACCTTGGATGAAGATGGAAATGGCTTGCGCTTGTCCCAGTGGAAATATGAGCAGGAGATCATCGCCCGCTGGAAAGTAAAGGATGCTGTGCCTTTTCCCCGCTTTAAGGTCTCTGAAGAAGACTATTATATGAACCTCAAGGCAATGCTGACCGCAACCAGGTTCGAGAGGCACAGGCCTTAGCTGGCTCCCTGCTCTGGTTGTCGACGAGATCGCGGCCTGACCTTGCTTGTGGTGTTGGGGCCATCAGCCGCTTGATGACAAAGAACCCATCCAAGGCCATCGAAATTGGTCATGTCCTCCTTGCCTATGTCAAGGGCAATCCTGGCGATCTTCACTGCGCCAAGGAGATCCAAAAGAAGGGGGGCGCCAGCGGCATGAGAAGTTGATTGAAGTTTTTGCTGATATAGCCTATGGGGCAAGCTCAAGTTTTCGCAGCATTCAAGGGCTGGTGATCTGTTTCGCCGGTGCTCCAATATCATGGCAGAGCTCAACCCAGCCTTTCATCACGCACAGCACCGCTGAAGCCGAACTAGTTTCCACTGCGGGGCACTCACAGCTGGCAGGGCTACTGAAGCTTAGTTGTGTTCCATGTGGGGGGAGCGCCTTGAAGCCACCAACCCATTCGAGAGGGTCATCTATGGTGACAATGCTGCAGCTATTGGGTTGGCCCATGGCAATAGCAACTCTTCGTGGAGGAGCAGGCACTTGCGTGTTCGAGCTCACCTCCTCAGAGAGGCCTTGTCTGACCAGGACTCATATCCTGGAGGCCGGTGGCAGCTCAGCCATCTCAAGGGCACAGAACTGGTAGCCGATGGAATGACCAAGCCCCCTTGGTCTTAGGCACGAAGAGGCCTGTGTGAAAACGGTGACTATGGGAGATCGGCGTCTTCAAGTACATGATCGCTCCGTGGCTCTACAAGCGTTGATAGTGGGGGGAGCGATGGTTCAGGCCGCTCAATCGGCCGAAGTCCAAGGGATTCCAGATCCTGACTCATCCTTCAGCACGCTGTGGACGTGCGGCCTGGTCCTGATCGTCATTGGGGCAAGCTGGGTGGGAAAGACAACACTCAGTTCTCTTGGGTGTTGTCTCAAAAGATTGCATAGGGTCATCAGTGCGCCGCACCACCCACGAGATCTTTGTGAAGGTGATGATGGAAGTGGTCCTGAGAGGCGGAGGTCTTGGAGGAGGGCTGAAGAAGAGGGTGCGCACGCGAAGTCAAGAGCATGGTTTGTGGCAACGACAACTCTGCCGCCAAAGCGAAGAAACTCCACCACGGACGAGCTCTATGTCTCGGCCTACCAGGCGACCATCGGGCTTGCAGGTGCGTCAGCGCACTTCATCACAAACCCCATTGCCACGGTCTGAAGCCTCGGAGTGCTCTGAGGTGACCAAAGCGGCTAGCGAAGCCGCAGAGAATGCAGCTGATGCTGCAGGACGTGCTCAAAGAGCTGCTGAAGCTGCCAATCGAGCAGCGGAAAGCGCCGAGCGCGCTTCGCGGATCATCCACCGCGCAGTGGTGGCATCCAAAGGCACGACGCAGCCTTTGAAGGTGGCTTCATCAAGCGGTTCATCAGGAACACCACCTTCGAACCCCTGGAATCGCTTCCAACAGGAACACCAGGGAAGAGGATGGGGTACAGAGAAACATGAGCGCAGAATACTACAAAGCCAAGTCAGAGGGCCGGTGAACATATGCCTTGAGCCTGGGCCCGTTTCTTTGGCTATTTTTGCCAACAGCTTTCGCCAAAAGTTGGCGAGGGGGAGTCGCTCATGGTGACTCATGGACCATAGACGGTGAGAACACCGCTGAAGGCATTTTGTTCGAGAAGTGAAAAGGTCCGGACGGGTTTCGGATTTGAAGTGTTGAGACTGTAATGGGACGGAATAGTAATAATTTTTTTCACCCAGGGTGTTTTGTTTTTGTTTTGTTTTGTTTACTTTTCTATTGTTCTGCCATTGATGCCCTTTAAATTCCTTACTTAACTCTTCTGAGGTTTGCTTGATTCATGGAATTCTGACCTGGAAATCGTTTTCAAAACGCTTCTTAAAACTCAACGATTTCCTTGCTCCAAACAATTTTTCAAGGGGGTAGTACACCAGCCCAGGGGAAGTGAATAATATCAATTGTTTAGGGGCTGGTACTAATAAGCCAACTTGGAGCCCTAAGGGAAAACAACTACTGTAACTGTATTTTTACTATTGCTGCCCTTTCAACTCCTTACTTAGCTCTTCTACTACTACCACTACTAGTACTGTACTACTACAACTACAACTACAACTACTACTACTACTACAACTACTACAACTACTACCACCACCACCACCACGACCACCACCACCACGACGACCACCACCACGACTACTGCTACTGCTACTGCTCCTGCTACTGCTACTACGTTACTACTACTACTACTACCACCACCACCACTACTACAACTACTACTACTACAACTACGACCACTACTACCACTACTGCCACTACTGCCACTACTACTACTGCTACTACTACCACTACTACTACTGCTACCACCACGATTACTACTGCTACTGCTCCTGCTGCTGCTGCTACTACTACTGCTGCTACTACTACTACTACTACCACTACTGCTACTACCACCATTACTTTTGGTGGTAGGATTCCAATCCAACTCCTTCGATTGCTTGCTAGTGGGGGACCCGTTTTGCTGATTAAGATCCAATATTAGAGGCCTTGCAGCACGTAGAATTCAAAAAGAACAACCTCTCAATCAATTAACACTGAAGTCTCACTGTTGCCCACGAATCCCCCGAAAATTCAGGACCATGATGGAAACATTAGACTCACTAGGCCTAGACTCATGAAAACAACAGACATTCAACGAGCTAATGTATTGATGTGAAGATCAGACATTCAGGAAAGAGAGCGATCTCAAACAAGAGATCAACCGAGGAACAGGTCATGGTACTTGTTAGGTCATGGCCCTCCATCCAAGTGTGCGGTGATATCGGATATACTCATGTTCGGTCCAGGCAGCGTTCGGTCCAAGCGAATCCTTGGTGATCTGCATTCGAAACCTCTTTTTCAGGGCGGCCCGGCTCAAATGGTCGAGGAGGTGAACAGTTCTTTCCATTCCAATCTTCTAGGCTACGCTCCAGCCGACATTTTCTTCTTGTTTCAATAGAAACAAGAAATCCTTTAAATGTAAAACCAACAAATCCATTTTCTGAGTATAAAAAAGGTATCCACACAGTGTTCACTGAATCCTTTTTCCACATGTATGGAGATGGAAACATACCTTGTCAATGCAGCACAAGAACCTGTTCAATTCTCAACCCACAAAGAGAAACATATTCCACATATTCCAACATTGTATTCTGACTCCATATTGTATTCTGACTGCATTGGTCGTTGGAACATTTTAGAACATCTTGAAATTGTTTGACGGAACCATCAACTTGGAGTTCGAAGGGGACACATTGTATTGCAGGAAATGATCGGAGCCTAGATATGGTCAACCATTTCTCTACAATGACACCCCCCTTGCATTCAGAAGGCGGCGTTTCACGACTTCTCGACTGGAGCGAAGAGGGGTTGCTTTGACGGTCTTGTCCTTCGGGCAAGCTCCAAAGGGGAGTCAGGAGTCCAAGGCGCTATCCCATGATCGTGAATCATACATTTTGTTGGAAACATTGGAAGCCACAGCGGAGCACAGCCCCACAGTGAAAACATGTTTAGTTGTTTTTCATGGTCCCAGATATTTTTACAATCTGACCTGGGAGACAACGACTTCTTTCCAGGGCAGTTCACAATGGTCATACTTAACATTGAATAACATTGATACTGGGGTTATTGATATACAATGACAATCTGACCACCATGACACAATGAGGGTCACTTGTCCCCATTGTGATACATTGATCATCCCTCATGGGTCAATGATTAACTTATCATTTACAATTCACAATGGTCATTGAGATTCTCACCACCTGTGAGGGATGATCACGATTACTCAAGGTTGACACCGGGGTTGACATCGCATGGGAAACTTGGGAACGGACCCTGATGACATCCGACAGTCTTTGGGGGCAGCTACTAATGTTGACCATCCAAAAAATCTGACCATCCAAAAAATCCAATGCAATTATATATATATGCAGTATGTTATTCTCTTCTACCATTGACATTGACGAGGGAAGAATCCCCCCGAAAAAAAAAAAGAACGCATCTCCATCAACGTCCCAAGTTGCAGCATATTTCAGTGCCAGGTTGCATTCCTGGTTGCTGAAGCAGTTTCGAGTCAACTGCAAGGGGCTGAAAGCATTTGTGCTAGATCATTGCCTCCCGTGCCACCGAAGCAAACGCCACGCAAGGCGCCAAGTCCCAGCCCGAATCCCTGGCCTGCACACCAAAGCTGTGACCTCGATATCTCGATATCTCCGGCTGGGGAGCGAGTTGGCCAAAACGGGTCGGCGCTTTGACCGGTCTGGGAGGCCAGACCGGTCGGTCTTGGGGGGTCCCGGTTTGTGGTGTTACTTTTCTTCAGAAGGATCCGTTTGGAATGGCCACGATTGCGGTGGTCTTTTTTTTTTGCCAATCATGGTAATTCCCATTCACCAGCCTCACAAAGTAGCCCCCCTTTCACAGCAAGGGTCTCATGAATTGTGAATGTGTTCATATGTTCGATCATCCAACGGCTCCAACGGGTCTGCTCAATGACACCGAAACACAGGAGAGAAGCGGTCCACGGGCCCCAAACCACCCACCATCTCCCGACCGACGCACCGACCCCCTGACGAAACAGCGGCAGGGCGCTGTTGGCCCGGCGCATTGCTTCTCTTGCAGAGCCTCCAGAAGAACCAGCACCCGGGACTCACCTTTTTTTTCGCCGGGCGGGACTCCGATCCTGAAAAATCGACGACGGCTTTCCAGGTCGGGTCTGGGTGGTGACCTCCCAGAGGGGCGTTGTTGCAAAGAGTGAGCAGATATTGGACAAATGAATATACAGTATACAGTAATTCAGAATAAGAAACTATTAAAATATACCCAGATTATATCCAGATTAGATATTTTGCTGGAGTCTCAAAGTACCACAGAAAATGGGTACAGTTGTATCTCTTTTTTCTTCGGGTCGGGTCATGTCCCATTTTCGGTCGGGTACTTGAAGCGACGACCTCACGCTGAACATGAAGCGTTCCTTCCGTCAGGTCCGGACGTGCGATCGGACCGGCAACCTTGGAACCTTTTGAAGCACCAAACGATTGAGCATGTTCAGGTCCAAATCGATTGAGCAGGTGCGGTCCTTAAAAGCACCTACTCACTTACGGTCGATGTGTCCTTGTACAAGATGGGCAGATGGGTGCCGCTATGTGTCGCAGGCTTTCACAGGTTTTTGTCTCAACGCTTTTCTTGCAAGAACGCTTTTGTGAAACACCAGTTGGGCTAACAGTGAAACCACTACACCTGATTTCTTGAGTGGGAATCGCTCGCTCGAGATTTGTGATTTCTTGAGTGGGAATCGCTCGCTCGAGGTTTTGTGGGTTTGGAATCTTGGAGGATCACTCTGTCCTTTTGGGATGTAGTTGGGTCCATAGCGATGTTCGAGCTGAACAAACTCAACCAATCAGAACAAGGATGATCATGCCGGACCAATGACTTCCTATATATATATATACGATTGTATATGCCTTTGGTGTGCCCCTGTGAAACCGAAAAAGTCGGGGATGTAGAGCATCCAGAGCCGAGTGGTGGCGAGGGCCATGGCGCTGTTGTTTTCTGGCCACATGTCACCATCGTTTGGAGTGCGAGCCTCTTTCAAGACCATGCTTGTTTTTTGGGTTACAGTATGCTACTGTAGTCGTGGTATGCCCAGGACTGATTTGCCCCCCCACTCTGAGGGGGCAGCAAATTGCCTGCAAAGAGCAATCCCAAAGGGGCTCTGGGCATTTGAAGCTTTGTCAGTGGTTTTGGCGATCCGATCAGATAACATGAGAGTTTCAAACTTCAAACATTCACAATCATAAACATGCACGTTCAACAATGATCAAGTTCTCAGCAGTTCCATTCGAAGACCATCGCACACCTTAAAACCAACACCGATAATCCCTAGTTGATTGGTGGGGGAGGGGCAAACCATTCGTCCTGGCACTATAGAATGGTCTTGTTGGGTTTGTTCGTTTCATGTTGATTCATTTTGATGGATTCTGGGCGTTTGGGGGCTTTCTGCTGGCTTTTGGTGACTGTTGGGTTTGAATGGCTTCTTAGCTCTTGGGTGGCGTGTGGAGCTGATGGCTTCTCGCTTTTGCGTTTTTTTGGCTTCTTCGAAATTGCGAAGGAATCAGAGTCAACTCTTAGTGAATATTCAATATTCCTTCTATATATACAATATATTTATATATTTATACTGTATATATAATTATATGTATTTGTTCCTCTCACTCACATGAGAAAGACAAATATGTACTGCAGATGTGTTTCAGCTTTTTTCACTGGTCGCAGTACGTGTTGTCGCAGGATCGGCCTGCCTTGCATTGACCAGCTTCAGTGCCCATCCGAAGGCCGGGCCTTCACGGCGCGGCAATCGTGACAGCCACTCACTAGACAGTGATGTTTCAGTTCGCGTGTTCGAATAGGGAGACATCCAAAGACTGAATGTTTTGGATTGACAATGCAACAACCTGTTTGTTGCCTGCAAGTTTTGACACTTTGTTATAGGAACACTCTATATACTGTAGCTAGTGTGCATTTTGTAGAAGGAAGGCCCTACTTTGATTTCATGGTCATTCAATTGTTGATATAGACGTGTAGGATACTTTAGCAAACTGATGCAAACTGCATACATATGTAACCAACTAATGCAGAGCCCTTAGCGCGTTCTTGTTGCTGGACAGATTCCGATGTGACTGGATTTACTGGGTCCAAACAAGAGCGCTCGGAGAAGGGGAGAGGTCGAACGTCAAGCGGGATTGCTTCAAAGGGAATGGGCCATGGTGACCGCTGGAGGGTTGTCAGGCGCCTTCACCACTCTCCACTTCAGTGGGCCTGTGAAAACACGAAAAGCCGGGCGGCCCACTATTGGTCACTGTCTTCAAGCAAATGAATGACATGAACAGTCCGGGCTCCCCATTGGTGCTTTGGACTCCGGACTACTCTCAACTCTGACGAAACCAGAAGATCTGATCGGACGAATGCACAAGATCTACGGTCATCCTGGTTGAATCGTTTGGTCGATTTGTGGGAGCCGTGGCCAGCGAACCATCCATGGCCAACCGAATTGATCGAATGGACCGAATGGACGACAGCGATCGAATGGGAACCAACATGCCCAGGCGCAAGAACTCATGGAGGCGCGAGAGCAAACAATCAAAGGAATCAGAGACAAGAGAACTTGGGAAGGACGAGAGACCTGCACAGCTGGTTCAGATGTCGCCCCTGGTAGCTGGTATTTACATTTACACCTCACATGACTCATATGGCTACATATGTTGCGTGCTTTACACATGGCCCGTCTCAGTATGGCTTGGGGATGCAGAACGTGCGCTTTCCAAGGCATCTCCATGTTGGAGGTTCTTAATCAGCAGCCAACACGGTTTTTTCTGTGAAACCCTGGGGTTCGCAGGTATTGAAGTTGAATTGGACACCGTTGTTTGGACCAAGTACGTTTAACTTAGTGGAGCTGAGCACTTGCATGTTCATTTTGCAGAAGAGTTTTTCAAATGTTCACCACCCAGGAAGGAAGTGTAATCGTGTGGCATTATCAATGGTTTGTATGGGTTCCCCTATCTAGCCTCGTGCTCATTGCGGCTGGACGTTCCTTTTATGCTGGCTTTGTGCTTCAGGAACCCGATTTCCCAAAATGGCTCAAAAGATACATGGGTACACGTTTTGTTTTTCCAGATTGAACACACATTGGTTCGTAAGACTTTAGCTGGAATCTAAAACATTGCCTCCCTCATGACAAGCTGTTGTATTTCCCCAAACAGTGTGGTGACACTAGGGGTTCTTGCGGTAAGATTTAAGGCCAGGTTCTGATCCGAGGTTCTCACCGGAATGTCCACCTGATTCGCTTCTATTTACAGTACATTCACCTCGAGATGTTGGAAGTGCATTTGGACTGCACAGGCTCGCAGAATCTGGTGGGCCCGAGCGGGTGCTCTTCAAAACTGCGCTCTCGTGGTGGTGTCGCGCACATTTTGGGTCTTGGCGATGACTTTTCGTACCAGGCACAAGTCTTTTGGTGGTCCAAATTCGACTTTTCGACAGTACAGGAGATCTGAGCGGCTTTACGTCGATGTGCAGTCTTGATGTGCGGATTTCGAGGCGGGCGCAGCATCTTATGGACCTTGAAGTAAGTGCGGATTTCTTGGTAGTTGCAGTCCTTTGTGGACCTTGAAGCGTAGATTTCGAGGCAGGCGCAGTACTTTACGTACCTTAAAGTGGAGAGTTTTGGCAGGCGCAGTACTTTGTGCAGTACTCTGTGGACCTTAAGTGTAGAGTTCGTGAGAGGCACAGCAAATGAATGTTCTCTCATATTTGTGCTCTGATGCGTGCTCTTATAAATGCGCTCCCATATATGTGCTCATGTGTGTGCTCTCATGCGTAGGCTTTTACATGTCCTTTCATATGTGTGTGCCCTAGAGACCTACATCTCTCTCTCTCTCTCTGTTTCCCCACCTCTAGACTTAGAACTCTAGACCTAGACCTTCAAATTAAACCTGGTTGCTGACTCATCACCATCACCACCACCATGACCACCACCATCATCACAACCACTACCATCACCACCACCCACCATCATCACCACAATTACCACCAAACATCACCGCCATCACCACCACCACTAACACCATCATCACCACCATCACCACCACCATCACCGCCATCATCACCACCATCACCGCAATCACCGTCACCACCACCACCGTCACCATCACCAACACCACCATCACTACTGCCACCGTCACCGCCATCATCACCACCATCACCTCAGCTTCGATCAAAAACTAGAAGGGTGAATTATTGGATGTTTTTTTATGTTTTTGGGTATTGAGAGTGGGTTAGGTATTGCTACGGTTTGTCAGCTCATGTATTATGTGCACATCAACAGCATCGACAATGCCTCCTGAATCTGCTTGAAACTGTGATCTCGGGCTGGGAAGTCGCCTTCAGATTGAAGTGTGACGAGTATGGTGGTTCCTGAGGGATTCAAAAAGAAGTGTCCCACCCGAAGCTACAGTATCCCCAAAATTATTTGGCAAGAGACTCCAAACAGTGTATCTAGTGCATCCAAATGTCTAAGGTCTAGAGGTGTAGAAACATCGGGCTCCAGAGCGAGGTGAACTTTAGATATACAGCACTTGCTCTATTTGTTTGTGCTGTTTCCCACGGCTTTGTTGGTTTATTCTCAGTGTAGTGTGGCAATGAACAAATCCCTCATAATTCCTCATAAACCTGGCATCCCTCAGAAATCTGACTGGGTTTGGGGGTGAGCATGGCTCAGATGTTTTTTGAACAAAGACTGGCAAGAACAAATAACCCAAAAGCGTTGGAACTGTTAGATAATCGTTGAATCCTCGTCAGTGCCTTTCCTTCTTCCAACCTGGCTGGATCATTCATGACTCGCAGGCCTGGTGTTGAAGGTCATTCCTGGGAACCCGAAGAAGGTCACGCAATCTTCAGACGCACACACACACAGACCCGCAAACAACCGCGCGAGGAGTTGACGCAGGCAACCCTGCAAGAACTCTGCAGAACTTAGGCCTGTTTGCGACCGGGAAAGGGTTGCAGACAGAAAAGGGTGGGGGTGCCACCTGAAGGCAACCGTCTGTCAGATTCTTAGGAAGGAACCGTGCAAATTTCCGTTTCACTGATGCACATGTAATGATTTGTTGACTTGGATCCATTGGGACAGTGGGACAGTGGTTGTTGGTGTTCTGCGTCTCTCCACGTCATCAACAGTCCACTGCCCTCAAGTATGAGTTTTGGGCAGCAATGCTGGTTGAAAACACTGCAAACAAAAACAAAAGACCGACCCCTCAAGCTCGGCAGCACATGTTAACCTGGAAGTGTGAATCCAAAGCGTGCATCCAGAGGGCTACGACTCCGTGAAGGAGTCGGTCCGACCTCACCAGATCTCCCAGGATGAATCCGGTGGAAGCATTGATGTCAAATGGATGGAAACCTATCACAAACCCATGGAATGGGGCTTATCCCCCTTAAAGGGAGGGTTGATGGTTTTTCACGGACCCATTCAAATGAAATTTACATGTGGATGCTTTTGGGGTCCCATTGATGGAAGCCTTGAAGTGGAGGTCAAAGTTGCTCTTGCCTTCGCAATTGGTCATCATGTGTCCCCCATAAGCCTTTTAGAAAGGAACACCATGTGCAGGGCAGGAGGGGTGTGGTTTTACGACCCGGAATTTAGATGAACATGCATTCTCCGAGTTCATGCTCAAGCAAAACATGAGATTTGGGCGCGAATAGTGTCACCTTACTCTGCAAGCAGCACGACTTTTCCACTTGTTTTTGCATGTTTTCTCAGAGTGTTGCGTGAATGTTTGAGGCCTTCCGTAGTGTGCCTCCACGCCTCTATTTTCTGAGGGCTGCCTCACTGATACATCCTCTTTCACAGACATACTGTAGTTGCATGTCCTTCGAAAAGCGCTTGATTGGCGAGGTTTTGGTTGCTTGTGTTTGCAATGCTGCCTCATCCCACTGCTGACTTCTCCATAACATGGTGTGCATCAGTGCATCTGAAGGGAAACAGCAAAACCCCACAACACGAATCAAGGTCACCAAGTCCCATTGAACATCAGCGCATGGAGATCGAGCGCATGTGCGGAGGGAGCGCATGGAGATCGAGCTGGGGGTATATCTATTTAGTTTGAAACTGGGAGCCATATTGTTTGAGCTCCAGGGAGTACCCCCAACCACTTGTTTAGCAAGTCATGTGCTTCGGAAGCTTCTGTCCACTAGCTCTGGAGGTGAGAAGTCTTCTTCACCAGCTCGGCCGGTCGGTCGGATTTCGGTCGATGAGCACAACATAGCACAACCGTAAGGGTTTGAGGCGTGATCTCAGGAGTTCGACTATCGACAAGTAATTAATGGATGCAACCAAACATCGGTGAGTCCACGAAGGGTCGGTGACTGGGCTAAATCGGTCATTGGACTCACGCGACGCGATCATCGATGCGCCGCGAAACGAGTCTGCGCCGCTCCGAAGACTCGGAAGATCGCCTGCAACATTTACTCACCTCAATTTTCGTAGTTGCGCCTCAATTTGGCGCGTGAACCTCCCGTGCATCGGGGAAAGATTCCGATGTATCCTCCGGCTCCTTATTTGCATCCCATTTCCCGGTGCGTTTGCGAACCGCTCTACTGAAGACGAGGTCGCAGTCGGTCTAGTCTAGTTGTGTTGCTTCACCAGTTGCAGGGTTTGGAACTTGTAAACGGTTCATCCACCTTTGATGCGATTGAGACACGCGGTCGTCCACTGAATTATCGATTGCCCATAGAATGGTGTGGACACTAATTTCCAAGGAGAGAGGTTTCACCTGATTCTTTGGGTCCAACGTTGGTTTGTTTGTGGGCTTCTAGTCATAAGCTTTTCAAATCTTTTCAATTTGGTTCTGGTTTGGATGAGTCTTTCGCACCCAAAATTTCATAAACATATGAAAACAATCTAAATGCATGTGTGTATACAAAATAGTAAAATAATAGCAATTAACAATAATGATAACATACCACATATGTTAAGAATACCGGGGACGACCAAAGGAAACCAAGACTAAGGAGATGACCTTTCATCCACTGCTACAACGGTCCCACCCTCCTCGCCCTTGAGCTAAGAGGGAACGAATCCAACCGGTCAAGTAGAGAGGTCAGTTTCAACACTCCCCTAAATGTTTTTGATTGAAGTTGGATTGCACTTCATTGCCACAGGCACGGGTGATTAGAACACATCAAAGATGGCTGCGTGGGTTGAATCCTTGCCCTTCAAAAAATTTCTAGCATGCGCCGATTCAAGAAGGGTGCTTTCATCCGCAAGTATGTATTGTCGCTCTCAACACACTGATGGTTAGTGATTGTATGGCCATGTACTCTGTCAGGTAGTGCGCAAGATTGGGGAGACCAGCAACCCATCGCAAATGTGCAAGCCGACCTTCAGTGCCTGACTTTCAACAGTTGCCCCCAGAGCTGCTAGGTCGAGTGCAAGAATACGATCTTGAGGGAGTCCACGTTTGGCGGAGATGTGGTCGTGCACGCTTCGACAGTCTGTGGCTGCTATGAGAGGAACTTTTAATGTGCACTTCTTCCTTTGCCGAAAATTAAAAGTTGGGCCGGTGAGTTCACAAAAGCATGGCCTCAAAAATTGAGACAACTTCCTTGAGATCCTTGTCTGGGCATCTTCCTGGGGCTGGCCTCACTGATGGCTACGGTCACTTATTTGCGAAGATCGAAGGTAGGAGTGATGATTTCAATATTAAAAGCTCTTCGAGCCATGCTGTTTGTGTGCTTGACTGTTGCAAAAGTTGCCTCAGTTAAGCTCTTCCAGTGGCAGCTCACTTCAAAGCTGAGGTCTGGACGAGTTGATATTGATAAAGCCAAAAATCTGTTCCTGCTGTTCTTCTCAGAACTGCTGGGTTTTCCTTGTTGAGGTCATGTCTACTTCGAGGGCCGCATACTTATATCATCTTATAACTAGAGCCTTAAGATGTTTTAAGTATTTTTAGTCTGGTAAGAAGTAGGGTTGAGTGTGGGTATAAGTTGCACATGTATGTCAACATGATCGTACTTGTAGTTTGAAACACATCGTATTTAGAATACGTATCTTATTACGTCATACTTATTATATTATAAGGATAGTGACAGGACGCTGTTGTACTTAAACATTGCTTATCAATGAAAGATTTCCACTCACTATGACAAATTTCAATGGTGTTATGTTTCAAGCAGAGGTTGTGAGAACTTTTGCTTTTGAGAGCAGCCTGTAGCATAGATGATGATGAGAATGCCCCAAAGACACCACAAGAGAAAGAGCTTTTGGTCAAGAGTGATGGTGAAGATGCTGGCAGCCCCAAGCCAAAGGCTGCCAGCCCTAAGGAAGCCCACGGAAAGCCTAAACCAAAGGCAAGGCTAAGGGAAAAGGTGGAAAGCCAGAGGAGCCTGAGCCAGAGAACAAACACAAGGACAAACAGACCTTGAGAGACACGATTTAAAAGTGGAAGAAAGGATTGGATGAAGGGGCCACAGGATGAAAACTTTGAAGAAGGTGAGGCAGCAGCGCCCTTTCCAAGATGAAGAGCTTCAAGAGCAACTGGGCATCTAAGGAGGAAAAAGAGAAATTGATGGGTGAGCCGCTGAGCCCAGGACAGTCCTGCTGCTCAAGCACTTTGGAGGAAATGAAGACGCCTGGCAGACAAGAACGTGGTGCTGATCACTGTGAGGGGTGGTGTTGAATACTTGTGCGCACCTTCCTTCCAGGTGACAGGGACCACACGAAAGATGGAAACCCACCTTGTAAGGCACATGAATTTGGGCCAGGATGAAAATTAATTAGTCGATGGCGTGAGCATTTGCAAAATACGGTTTGGAAGGTGAGTCTGAAGGTGAAAAGACAGACCCTTTCTCCCACTTCTTCCAGCAGCAAAGCCAAGAAACACAACCAAGCAGTTGGGAGTGTGCCTTTTTTGTGGGACACATTCAGGGTAGAAATTCACTGTAACTTTGTAACTTTGGTGTTGAATCACTCGAGAAACTTTCATATGCTATTAATCTGAGAGGTTTTCACTTGGTACTGTTTGTGCTGGTGTTTAGCAAGCAAGCACATTGGTTGGAACTTGGGGGTGCTGCATTCGCTTGAGAGACTTTCATTTGGTACAATCACTTGAGAGACTTTCACTTAAGGTTCGCCTGAAACACTTTCACTTGAAACTTCTCGTGTTTAAGTATACAAACAAACACATTGGTTAGGCTTTTGGGGCGCATTCGCTTGAAAGATTTTCGCCTGAGTCCACTTGAAAAACTTCCACTTGAGATTCCCTTGACATTCTTCCACTTGTGAGTTTTTTGTTTGAGATTTCTTGTGGCTGGGTTGAACAAACACAACACACTGTTTGGAGCTTGAAAAAGGTTCTTGTCAGAAAGAGTTGGATTTCGATTTCAAGAAGTGCGAGAAAATGCTCACTGAGGCCAAGGCATGCCAAGACAGAATGGAGAAGGACATGTGCAAGCTCAAGCAGCACACTGAAAAGGCCAATGAACCTGACACGGTGGGTACGCTGAAGAAGCTGCTGACCTGTTGTTTGCCAGAAGCAAGATTTGGACTATGGACATGGCGTGAGTTGCCAGGCCATGATGGAGAGAAGCTGACGCACACCAGGTTGAAGACATGGACGCACCAGCTGGCCACACAGGCCCCACAGACTGAGCAGAACAAAGAGGGCATTCAATCTCTCAAGGCAATCCTCAAAGCAAGGAACTTTTGGCCTCAAAGGCTCAGAACTCTGCTTCTGTGGCTTCGACTGTAACTGTGTCACAGGGACACCATTTCAGAAGCGTTCACCTCTGAGGGAGATTGACTTGAGATGCGCTTAATTTTTTTCGAGGTACTTCATTGGAACTTCGCAGGAGAGACTGTCACTTTGAGGTACATTCACTTGAGATTCACTGGGTGGACGTTCACTTGCAACAATTATGCTTCTAAAACAATCACTTGAGAGCGACACTCACTTCAGAGTTCTTTCACTTGAGGTGCATTCGTTCGGCTTTGATATCATTTCTGTCTTTTCAGTTGAGGTCTAGGGTAGCTTGTTGCGCGTCCAATGGTTGATTCAGGTGTTTTGTTTATGAGAGCACATTTTCACCGCATGGAAAACTCTCGCAGACCTCTCAAGAAAGCCAGGAATGGTGGCCTTCAGCAACGGATTCAAGCTGCAGCCCAAAAGGAAGGAAAAAAGGTGCGCCGCCGCCAAGGAACAAGTTGGCAGCTTTCTTGGTGCAGAAGTGGGCTGATGGCATTCGTTCACCTCAGACGGTGCAAACTGTTGTCACAAGAGCATGAAGGATTTGTGATCTTTGACTTCTGTGACTCTGTGAAGCCTTTAATTCTGGAGAAGCTGGCCGGACAGCAGCCAAACAATTGCCATAGAGACTTGTTGGAAATAGCCGCGCCTCTCAGCAGGTTTCCACAACCAATGCAGTGCAGCTTCCCATTCCAAGATGGCAAGATGAGGCTGCGTAAGGTCTTCTTACCACATCAGTGGGTTGCAACTTGGTACCACCAGTACCCACATTCATGGAGACACACGGTGCGTATCCTGAAGAGTTCTGGAACAGAATGGCTGGCGGGCGTGCAGCCTTTGGAAAGAAGATTTCAGCGTGGCAATACCGCTCTCCTTGCATGGGGACGCTGTACTCACCACAGGAGCCGGGAAGACCCATGTCAAGATGTGCACTGGATTCAGCTGGGCATCTATGTTACTATTTTCGGCTTGCGCGACGCAATCCTGTTTGCAATCGAAGGAGACTTGGAGTATTTGTTTGCAGAGTATTTGTTTGCAACATTCATTAGGGCTTGCCAGCAAGTGCAGTGGGGAAACTTGGCAAGACTTCAGGCCTGTGGCTGAATGGGTCACTGCTTTGTGTGC